GAGCACCTGAAGAGCCAACTGGAGGACTATGTGCGTCAGCTAAAGATTGTCCGTGTCCTGAGGCAGCCGGAGAGGAAGGGCCTCATCACTGCCAGGCTGCTGGGGGCCAGTGTTGCTCAGGGAGAAGTGCTAACCTTTCTCGACGCACACTGTGAGAAAACACACACACAACAACAAGAACAACAATACACAAGCCACCATGGCTGTTTTCAAGCATTAGTATGTAGCTACTTGGGGAAATTACACTACCAGGGTTAGGGATTTATGTGTTTTTTTCAATATTTGCTAAATACTCACCATACTACCATCAAGTGTCTCATATTTCCTTTAATTCTCTAAAAAAGTTGGTTTGTGCTATATACGTAATGGCAGTATTTTGGATAAAATTGTGGTCATGATTGTTTTGCTTAATATCAATGGTTATTCATGTCTCGGTCCAATTAAAAACTTGAATGTGTTGTATTTCATGCACTCATCAGTAAAACGTTCAGGAGACGTTTAAATTATACTTTCTTGACGATAATTTGTTAGAAACAGATAGTGCTTGATTACAGCATGCTTGAAACGAACACAATGTTATGTAATTACTTGCATGTTGAAGCCATGCATTGCCCTCTCAACCCATCATAACTCTGTTTACCTAAAAGATAGTTAAACATATGTTTCTTGTCTAGGTGAGTGCTTCCACGGCTGGCTGGAGCCCCTGTTGGCCCGCATTGTCGAGGAACCCACCGCTGTGGTTAGTCCAGAGATCACCACCATTGATCTTAACACCTTTCAGTTCAACAAGCCCGTGGCCTCGAACCGCGCTTACAACCGAGGTAACTTTGACTGGAGCCTGTCCTTCGGCTGGGAACAGATCCCTGAGGAGGCGAGGAAGCTGCGCAAGGATGAAACCTACCCTGTAAAGTACGAAGGATCCTGTTGGTTTCACTAAGAACGAGCTGAATCATTTAGGTGTATAAACATTTGTATCTTTCTCTGCAAATTACAGAACCCCTACTTTTGCTGGAGGTCTCTTCTCAATCTTGAAGACGTACTTTGAACACATTGGAACATACGATGACAAGATGGAGATCTGGGGCGGTGAAAATATTGAGATGTCCTTCAGGGTAAGTCTCTATGTCTGTACTCTTTCAGTGCCACACATTTAACGAGTCTATCTGCATTTGTATCTATGTTAATTGTGATCCACAGGTGTGGCAGTGTGGGGGTCAGCTAGAGATCCTCCCCTGTTCTGTGGTGGGACATGTGTTCCGGTCCAAGAGCCCCCACACTTTCCCCAAGGGCACAGAGGTCATCACTCGGAACCAGGTGCGCCTGGCCGAGGTCTGGATGGACGACTTCAAGAACGTTTTCTATCGCCGCAACAAGAACGCTGCCGTTATGGCCAGTGAGGTTAGTGAGATGGAAGTAACACCATGTTATGTGCACTGTGGATACAATGGCATTTATCACCCTGATTTCACTCAAGCGGCAAACTCCAAGTCTGAAAAGTGAAGCCAATAAGGCCCAAACCGGCTTTCTTTCTATAGCAATCAGGGCTTCACTCATGGTTGTGAAATAAGTCCATAAAAGAATGAACCTCGTCCTCACTATATATACGAACAAGAGCCAAGTGCTCTTTAATACAAAATGAATAATGTTCCTTTTTGTAAATTATGCTCTAGTTTACAGTAAAATGAACCATTAGGCAGCAAAAGCTTTAGGACATGGCCATCTTGTGATTGACCGTTTGCCACCAAGGGGAAGTCTGTGTTTTCATATTAGAACTTTTACCCTTTCACAGTGTGTTTTTGCGTTATAATATATTACTTATGCCTAAAAAGGTCTCGTTGTTTCACACTCTCCTGTAACTTCTGGTAAAAAAAACACAAGATAGCAACAGCCAAAATGCTGAACTTAAGTCCTCAAATCTGTAGTGCACTACTAACCAATGGTTGAAATCATGGTCACTACGTCCACTTCTTATATACTATGCTGATGCCACCTGTTATGTGGCTCACAGGCCACAACGAAAAGAGATGGAGACGTACGAGGGTTTCCGAAAAAGCAACGGCAAATTTATTGTGGCAACTCAAAAAGTAACACTGCAGTGGGTTCTGCGAACAATCTCTACACGTACAATGAGAGGCTGGGCGAGGGGAAGGGATCCCGGCGAGAGTTTTCCACATTAGTCCCGGAGAGAGTCGCGATCGCCCCCCGTGACTCTGAGCAGCAGGGCTTAAGTAGAACCTGTTACGCAGGCCAGGTGTCCCCAGTTATGCTGATTGGCCTCCTCAGCTCCACCCCCATCACAGGACCTGCACCACACACGCACACTAACCGGCCTCAGGCTCTGGGGCCGTCACACACCACCTTTTTTTTACCTTTTTAACCTATCATTTGCTTCAACAAGTTGATGTGTTAATATACGTACTTGTACTTTTTTTTAAATATGCCTCTTCAATGTTTGTAGAATAAGTTTGGGGACATCTCTGAACGTCTGAATCTGAGAGAGAAGCTTCACTGCAAAAACTTCACCTGGTTCTTAAACACAATCTACCCAGAGGCCTTCGTTCCAGACCTAAACCCAACATTGTTTGGAACAGTAAGTCACATTTCCATTTTTCTTTATGTGCAAATCAACAATATGATAAATGACACAAGTTACATACCCTCGAATGTGTCTTACTGTTATTTCATGTTTGTGTTTGTAACAGATTAAAAACTCAGGATCACACAGCTGTCTGGATGTTGGAGAGAATAACCAGGGAGATAAACCAATGATCATGTACACCTGCCACAACATGGGAGGCAACCAGGTACAATGACTCACACGTATACAATTTAAGATTTGAAGATAATATATAGTAATCTTTATCGGTACAGCACATTTGTACAGCTTGAAGTTCTTTCCAAAAAGATGCAACACATTTACACAAGGTCATATAGACTATAGATTTAGACAATATATGATCAAATATATTTACAAAATGTACAAAAAAAGGGACCAACAAGAATAATGATATTAATTAGAAGCCAAATTAAATAAATATGTTGTCAGCTTTCACTTAACATTTCCAGAGAGCCGCCACCTTTAATAGCTCTTGTGTCAGGTATTTTATACTTTCGGAGCATGGTTATAGATCTTTAGAAAATAGATAATGGTTTGATGTTCTCTGATTGAATGATCGTCTCTTCTAGTATTTTGAGTACTCCTCTCACAAGGAGCTGCGTCATAATATTGGAAAGCAGCTGTGTCTTCATGCCACGCCACAGCCAGAGCCCGTGAAGCTGGAGCATTGCCAGCGGAAAGGGAAGGGCACCAGTGTGGCAACGCAGGAAGAATGGATCCTAACAGAGGTGAGCAAGGGCCAGACTGAAGGAAAACGCTTTGTGGTCAACGCTTGTTCACATTCAGTTAGATGAGGACTTCCTGGTTGTCATGAGGTTGCCTGGCAACTGGCAGAAGTTGGAAGTGTTATGGCAAAAAAACATATACAACTTGTTTTTGTTTGTCTTTACGCTTTTGTTTTCGTACAGATAGACAAAAGACGTATGTGTTAATTGTAGTGCGCTTTAGAGATGCTAGTAGGTGAGCTAGCTATTTCACCCTGCTTCCAGTCTTTATGCTAAGCTAACATGCTGCTGGCTGTAGCTTTACATTTAGCAGACAGTCAAATGGTGGTATTAATCTACTCATTAATTCTGCTAGAAAGCAAAGAGGCACAATATTCCAGCATACAAGTCTTATTTATTTAATTAATTTTCTATATTAATTAATCTTTTTCTCTGATGCTATTTTCCAGGAACATCTTCTGAAGAATCCCAGCAGTGGGACATGTTTACTTCTGAAAGGAGGCCAGGTTCAGATGGGCGACTGTAATGCTGCTGACCTATTCCAGCAATGGACCTTCAGCTGACCTCCCCATCATTAGGTGACCCCCTCACCATGTGTCCCCTTCCTCAGACTCGAGGCCCCATGGAGCCAGCTCAACATTGATCCAGAAGGATTTCATGCTGTGGAGCTTGGGGCATTCGGCCCTACTTAGTGGACATTCAAACATGGAGGACAAAGAAAAGACAGTCCTGGTCATTTCACAGAGGAAGACGTTTGGGTTGGCCTAAATTTGTTTTAAATTTATTTATGATGGACTCTGAAGAAAAATCATTATCAGAAACTTGGACTTGGCCTTCAGCAGTGACAGCTTGACTGATAGATTGTCTGTGAACTGCAATTATCTCATTTCAGTGCATTTACGCTCCAGCTTGAAAAATTAAATAACCCTTTAGTGCCTTTTTTTTGTTCTGACAATGAATGTTGAAACATGACAAAAAGCAAGTCTTACTCTTAACCCAAAAGCAAGAGATGTCTGTTTTTAATAAAAAGAAAGAAGAAAAATTATCTTTAGTGATTTTCTTTTTATTGCCATAAGTATTACAAAAATCAACCGGGAGCTTAAACTGTGAAATACGTTTAAGTTATAGCCAGCTTCATCTGTCCTTAATAATGTGTTCAAGGTACTAATCTTACATTGGTATTCAAATGTTCTTTTTTTGAAATGGTCAGTATTGATTCACCGGGTGATCTCATGAAATAATGATTAACTCACTGTGGTTCTCACATATAGTCATTTGGATTTAGATGGCCTGCCATAATTCATGACTTAATTTACAGTCTTGTAAAAGTTGTGTTGGCAGAGGCTATGTGCTGATAACTCTTTCTGCAACAAAGCCATAGGGCTTTCTCAGTCAGAGGCTTCTGTTAATGTTTACGCAACATTTGTCCAAGGTTTCGTTTAGGAGGAAGGAACATTCTTGCCAATTGTTAAACGTCTGACAGACCTGAAATGTAAGTTTAGATGAATAGGTAGGACTTCTTCAGGTTGACAAACCGGATCTAAATACCTGCTGATTTAATTTCATAGGTGGAATTGTCTTCACGCCCAAACTGCAGTACAGTAGAGGTTGGAGAGAGGATACTCAACATTATTGCACAAGGAAGCTGTCACATTTTCTCAATACCTCTTCGCAGCAATAGGTGGCAGCATACTCTTGCTGACTTTTTCTGCAAGGCAAGAATGACAATTGAAATTTCCCCATGCTGAGTGTGTAGGGGAATGAGAGTAGCCACAGTAACTGCAGCCGCAGAACAGATGGGACAGGAGATGAGCTCTGAGCCTTTCACTCGCTCCGAGGTGTTTGGACAGCTCAGGAGGGAGCTCTATGGAGAGGAGCAGTCCTCTCATTCCAACACACACACATTCATCATCCTGGGAGCCTCTGTGAGTACAACCTCAACTTCTTACAACACGACATGAATAACTGCAGTTTCCTCGGTTTAACATTGTTACTCATTCACTTCCTTTAACCCGATTTAAAAAGTATCTGTGGAAATGCTCTCTTTCACATGTTTAAAAGTCTACAAATTGTCTTGTTTGCTTGTATAAAGTGACATGCCCAACATAAAGTTGACACAAAGCCTTGCAGAAAACTATTGACCTGGAGAATGTTGCAGTGTTAACTGAAATGTGCTGCATCTACTTTTGCCTTTGTTGGTCTTAATCCCGGCACTAGTTCCATAATCTAGTTGTTTTTCCTGTCACCCAAATTGATTCTTTCCCTTCCTGAAGCCAGTAATGTAGAAATAATCTGAAGTCTCACAGTCCTGCAAAGAGGGAGTGTTCAAAGTTCTACCGTGACTCAACAGCTCCACCCACTTGTCATGACCCCATGTGAAGTTTACTTACACTTTGGACTCTTAATAATGGATTATTTTCAGCCACATTGTTATCTGAAGGAGTTCTTGATCAGATCTAAAACAAGTGTACACTTCAATAGGGGGATCTGGCTAAAAAGAAGATCTATCCAACTTTATGGTAAGTAAGAATTTCTTCTCAAACACCAAAGCTCTACTATTTGTTTTGGTCACTTTTTATTCTGAGGAGTTTGACCTTTGGATCCCTGCTTTTTGACTGTCCCTTCTCTAGGTGGTTATTCAGAGATGGCCTGCTCCCAGATGACACCCACTTTGTGGGTTTTGCCCGGTCTACGCTGACTGTGGAGGACATCAAGACAGCATGTCTGCCTTATATGAAGGTAGAAAATCTGAGGCTACCTTGTTAGCTATCTGAGAAAGGATTGTTGATTGTGTGGGGTCTTTTCTGGAATAATTGTCATTTCCCTCAGGTCACTGATGAAGAGAGTGAGAGTCTCTCAGCCTTCTTCAGTAGGAACTCCTACCTGAGCGGCAGGTATGACGATGACGGCTCTTTCGCCCAACTCGACTCTCATCTGTTGTCTCTTCCTGGGGGATCCAACGCCAACAGACTGTTCTACTTGGCTCTGCCCCCCACCGTCTACAAACATGTCAGCACAAATATAAGAACCCACTGCATGAGCTCCAGGTCAGTGTCTGTTTTACTCAACGATGGTTCACCTGCTATTCATCAACATTGCTCTAATGGCCTATGTGTGTGAAACAGAGGCTGGAGCAGGGTGATTGTGGAGAAGCCCTTTGGACGAGACCTCCAGAGCTCTCAGGAGCTGTCAGCCCACCTCTCCTCCCTGTTCTCAGAGGACCAGATCTACCGCATAGACCACTACCTGGGCAAAGAGATGGTCCAGAACCTCATGGTGCTCAGGTAGCTAACTCAATGCACACATTCCTAAGTGTGAGGGAATATTTCTGTCTTTACTCCTAGATATTTAACCTTTTCTGTGTGTTGACGTTTACGACCAACCCTGGATCTGTTATCTCTCTTAAAGAATGGGAGGCTCCAGCTATCTTGATAAACCAGTTCAACTCTCTGTCACGAAATGGTTTACGGCTGTGGGAACACTGGCTTCGAGGCCATTAAGGGTCAGACGCAAGTGATTCAGGGTGCCCAGCTGTTTAGTCTATCTCCCCAAATATATTGTTTACTCTCTCTGAACTACACTGAACAAAAATATAAATGCAACACTTTTGTTTTTGCTCCCATTTTTCATGAGATGAACTCAAATATCTAAAACATTTTCTATATACACAAAATAACCATTTCTCTCAAATATTGTTCACAAATCTGAAAAAATCTGTGATAGTGAGCACTTCTCCTTTGCCGAGATAATCCATCCCACCTCACAGGTGTGGCATATCAAGATGCTGATTAGACAGCATGATTATTGCACAGGTGTGCCTTAGGCTGGCCACAATAAAAGGCCACTCTGAAAAGTGCAGTTTTGCTTTATTGGGGGGGTCCGAAAACCAGTCAGTATCTGGTGTGACCACCATTTGCCTCACGCAGTGCAACACATCTCCTTCGCATAGAGTTGATCAGGTTGTTGATTGTGGCCTGTGGAATGTTGGTCCACTCCTCTTCAATGGCTGTGCGAAGTTGCTGGATATTGGCAGGAACTGGAACACGCTGCCGTATACGCCGATCCAGAGCATCCCAAACATGCTCAATGGGTGACATGTCCGGTTGCGTTTATATTTTTGTTCAGTGTAGTTAAAAGGTCTATCGAGAGAGATGCGCGGCAGATTTGACATGGCAACCCACCAGTGCAGTCAGAACCTCTGGCTGCACTGTGACTTGTGATGTGAATTTCTCCGGCCGATACTTGTAAATAAACATTCAGTGTTTGACATCAAAGCTCCAACTCTCCTCGTGTCTCTCTGAGTCCTGACTCTCCATTGCTACACTAAGCACTATACCACTAGTGAAATCCTTAGCACCATTAATTCTATTTAATTACTTCTCATTATCTCTTCCTTCCTGTGTCACTGGTATTGGAGGGTTTATTCTACAAATATCTTATTCTCTCATTGCCAGGTTTGGAAATCGCATCTTTGGACCCATATGGAACAGGAACAGTGTGGCCTGTGTGGTCCTCACCTTCAAGGAGCCTTTTGGCACTCAGGGCCGCGGAGGATACTTTGATGACTTTGGTATCATTAGGTGAGGACCATTACATTTTAATAAAGTCAAAACAATTAATACAATGTTATTTTTACACTAGAGCCTTTACTTGTGCTGATTCTACTTCTTGTTCCTTGTGTAGAGATGTCATGCAGAACCATCTCCTGCAGATTCTCTGTCTGGTCGCCATGGAGAAACCTGCTTCCACCAGCCCAGACGACGTGAGGGATGAGAAGGTAATGACTGTGATTGAACAGAAAGATTTAACATTTTCTGTCTAAATTCCATGAGAGCATCGTTGACGATCCAACACTTTATCCATTGATGAACTGTAGGTGAAGGTGTTGAAGTGTATAGCTCCTGTTACTGGATCAGATGTGGTGCTCGGCCAGTATGTGGGCGACCCTGAGGGGGAGGGTCAGTCCAAACTGGGTTACCTTGACGATCCCACTGTACCAGCAGGGTCCTGCACACCAACTTTTGCCACAGCGGTGCTTTATGTCCAGAATGAAAGATGGGATGGTAAGTGAAAACATTTATTATCTTTTTCATCACTTGTCTTAGTCTTCACCTCTCCCAGATTTTCTCAGTTTCTTTGGCGTCCTCTCATCAACTCTCCCCCCACCAGGCGTTCCTTTCATCCTGCGCTGCGGTAAAGCTCTGAACGAAAGGAAGGCAGAGGTGCGTCTGCAGTTCACTGACGTGCCGGGAGACATCTTTGCCGAGCACTGTCAGAGGAACGAGCTGGTGGTGCGGGTGCAGCCGGACGAAGCCATTTACCTGAAGATGATGACCAAGAGGCCGGGGGTCTACTTCAGCCCCGAGGAGACGGAGCTGGACCTCACCTACAGGAGCAGATACAAGGTGCTGCACCTTTCTCAAAGAATCCATCGTGCGTCATCATTTAGCTTTTCGCCCCTCTATCAGTTATTTTCAAGTTTATCATATGCACAACAATATACAACATTAATATCTTGAATCTTGGGCTCCCTCCAACAATGCACATTTAATTTATATACAATAAATAATATGTAGAAATAAAAGAAAAAGGTATCGTAAGAGTAAAGGCAAACTTTATATACTTTTTGATATACAGCAATTTTCTTTTGTCATTTGATTCTCCAGATATGTTGGTCATTTCAAAAGTGAAATGAATCTTCAACATACAAAAATAATTTAAGTGACATTTGACTATTCAATGTTTTCCGGTGACATACTGTAGATCAGGGGTTCTCAAAGTGCGGCCCGCGGGCCAATGGCGGACCTCGGACATGTTTCTGGCGGCCCACGATAGTTAATGTGACACGCTGAAATGCATGAGTTATATTTTAATCCTCCATGGTTGTATCTAGTATGAATTAGAATGAGTAGCTTTCCAGCGGTATCTCCTGTGAGACTGTAACCAGGGCACAGCAGCCAATATGGCCGCTCAAAGCAGCTTGACTTTACACTGTGTGGGATTGGTGGATTTGTGTGTCCATCCATCCATCCATCTTCTCCCGCTTATCCGTGGTCGGGTCGCGGGGGTAGCAGTTCCAGCAGAGAGCCCCAAACTTTATTTTCCCTGGCGACATCAACCAGCTCTGACTGGGGGATCCCAAGGCGCGGAGAGAGAGAGAGAGAGACTAAAAAAAACTTTACAGTTGCCGACTTCGCTAGAGATTTTTTTCGCTAGCAGCAGTGGTGATAGACCGCGGTGAATTTAGTTTTAGGTTGGATATTCGACGGACATTCGCGGACCAGCCAGCAGCGTCAGTTTCCCGGACCCGCCAGCAGGGTCAGTTTAACGGGGAGATCTTCTCCGCGAAACGAGGCTTTCACTTAGGGACCATCAACAAATGACTTTTACAATTAGACAAGAAAACTGTTCTTTTTAATAAATCGACAGCTTCTCGATCGTGTGAATGTGAAGCAAATTGACTCTAGAGCATACATTTATTGAATACACCTCTTTTTATTGCATTTTAATACTTTAAATACGTTTTATTAATATGTTTGATGGAAACATTTGCTTATTTCTTCAATACCTTCCAGGTCATGTGACCTAATAACTCAAAATCAATGTTGGGTCAAAGGACTACACCGGTTGCATAGGACACACCTCTTTTTATTGCATTTTAATACTTTAAATATTTTGTATTAATATTTTGATGGAAAAATTAGCTTATTTCTTCAATACCTTCCAGGTCATGTGACCGATTCACTCAAAATCAATGTTGGGTCAAAGAACTACACTGGCTGCATAGGACACACCTCTTTTTATTGCATTTTAATACTTTAAATATTTTATATTAATATTTTGATGGAAAAATTAGCTTATTTCTTCAATACCTTCCAGGTCATGTGACCGATTTACTCAAAATCAATGTTGGGTCAAAGAACTACACCGGCTGCATAGGACACACCTCTTTTTATTGCATTTTAATACTTTAAATATTTTATATTAATATTTTGATGGATAAATGTGCTTATTTCTTCAATACCTTCCAGGTCATGTGACCGATTCACTCAAAATCAATGTTGGGTCAAAGAACTACACTGGTTGAATGGGACACACCTCTTTTTATTGCATTTTAATACTTTAAATATTTTATATTAATATTTTGATGGAAAAATTAGCTTATTTCTTCAATACCTTCCAGGTCATGTGACCGATTTACTCAAAATCAATGTTTGGTCAAAGAACTACACTGGCTGCATAGGACACACCTCTTTTTATTGCATTTTAATACTTTAAATATTTTATATTAATATTTTGATGGAAAAATGAGCTTATTTCTTCAATACCTTCCAGGTCATGTGACCGATTTACTCAAAATCAATGTTGGGTCAAAGAACTACACTGGCTGCATAGGACACACCTCTTTTTATTGCATTTTAATACTTTAAATATGTTATATTAATATTTTGATGGAAAAATGAGCTTATTTCTTCAATACCTTCCAGGTCATGTGACCGATTTACTCAAAATCAATGTTGGGTCAAAGAACTACACTGGTTGAATGGGACACACCTCTTTTTATTGCATTTTAATACTTTAAATATTTTTATATTAATATTTTTGATGGAAAAATGTGCTTATTTCTTCAATACCTTCCAGGTCATGTGACCTAATCACTCAAAATCAATGTTGGGTCAAAGGACTACACCGGCTGCATAGGACACACCTCTTTTTATTGCATTTTAATACTTTAAATATTTTTATATTAATATTTTGATGGAAAAAGTTGCTTATTTCTTCAATACCTTCCAGGTCATGTGACCGATTTACTCAAAATCAATGTTGGGTCAAAGAACTACACTGGCTGCATAGGACACACCTCTTTTTATTGCATTTTAATACTTTAAATATTTTATATTAATATTTTGATGGAAAAATGAGCTTATTTCTTCAATACCTTCCAGGTCATGTGACCGATTTACTCAAAATCAATGTTGGGTCAAAAAACTACACTGGCTGCATAGGACACACCTCTTTTATTGCATTTTAATACTTTAAATATTTTATATTAATATTTTGATGGAAAAATGAGCTTATTTCTTCAATACCTTCCAGGTCATGTGACCGATTTACTCAAAATCAATGTTTGGTCAAATAACTACACTGGTTGCATAGGACACACCTCTTTTTATTGCATTTTAATACTTTAAATATTTTATATTAATATTTTGATGGAAAAATGTGCTTATTTCTTCAATACCTTCCAGGTCATGTGACCTAATCACTCAAAATCAATGTTGGGTCAAAGGACTACACCGGCTGCATAGGACACACCTCTTTTTATTGTATTTTAATACTCCAAATATTTTTATATTAATAATTGTATGTAAAAATTAGCTTATTTCTTCAATAACTAATGACTCAAAATCACTTTATGAATTGAATACAAGTCTGTACACAATAGAAACAGCTCTTTATATCGGATAATATTACATCCTCTATTTAATATTAATATTTATATTAAAAAATTCAGGGTTTTTTTCTAGAGCTTCCCTGTCATGTGACCCAGTGATTAATGATCAGAAAGTAATACAAACAAGGCTACACAGGACACATGTTTTACTAATCGTCATCATTGAGCACATTTCAAGTATTACTTGCACAAAGGACAATTCCAATATCCTGTCTCTGCCTTTTTAAAGTCTCTGCTGTCCATTGCCAGGCACTGGGCATGGTACCATCGTTCACAGTCATCACACTGAACCTGTTGAAGTGAAAGAAATAGTGTATTTATATATTTGTACCTTTAGATTACCATTCAGTTGTCTTAATACTTAAGTGTTAGTGAGGAATCAGCTGACACAATCATCTGCTCCTTAAAACCCACTGCCTGTGTTTTAACATGCTCTATTGTTTGTTTGTTTTTTTTGTTTTTTTATTGTTTCTATCTTTTACATTTTTTTTATTTAAGTATTCCATTAATGTGTGTTGCATGTTTTAAATGTATTGTATTTAGTTGTTTAAAATTAATTATGTGTTTGAGGTTGACTTTTAAAATCTGTCCAGGGACTACAGATGAAAAATAGCCTCTTGGCTAAGTCTGGCACAGTTACAGAAATGTTAATTAATGTGCACTGTCCCTGTTAAATAAATGAATACATAAATGTATACATGACAATTCCACATTTTCTTCACAACAGCTCACCCAGTCTGTGATGGGAGATCCAGATCCTGGAGGCCTTAAGGCAGCACACATAGCACAATAAGTGTGCTCATCAAAGACTGAAACAAGATAACAATACATGTATGTCAGCTTCTATATACACATACATATACATACATACATATATATATATACATACAGACACCCATATATATATATACACATATTCATATTTATTTACCTGATGCCTCAAGGATTTCGAGAGCCAGTTCTCTCCTCTCCCGTTTCATGTATTTCTTCGAACACTCGAAATTCACATTCGGGATCAGAGGGAAGGACTCCATGACTGCCTTTGCCATCTAAACAAACAACACTTATGTTATGGAGGGTTTTTCTTCTTTATTGTATAGTAATACAGATACAGACAAAAACATGAGACACATTATAGAAGACATCCACCCTTGACTAGAATGCCTCCCAAAACCTTTGAGTATTGATATAGACCGGTCCTATTATTGGAATTTTGAGATATTTGGAAGCAAAGTTTTGTCAATTAAACTTTCTGTGTTCAAGTGAATACTACATTAGTATTAAATAACTGTTAATTTAAGTTCAGCAATGTTGTGTCATAATCCAATTGTTGTCAGTTGTGAAAAATACAATAAACAACAACATGATATCGGCAATATACTGTATATTGTCCATTGGCCAACCTGCCTGCTAAATATTATGGGGATCAGCATCGGCCTTTAAAAAACCTTTATCGGTCAACAACTACTTTTGACAGTTTTTTTAATCCGCCCTTGCATTAAACTGTCTTTCACATTAAAAACTCTGCTTGTTAACTGGATGAAAACAGAATCTCTTCAGCTCACCTTCACAACAACGACACCACAGCTACATCCATCCGTTTGAAGTGGGTGGCCCATAACGCCTCCCTTCCACTTAACATCCACCCAGTCTGTTATGCTGTGGCGTGTCCTCCTCATCCTGAAGTACTCCCTGAGAAAGGATAATGTTAACACACTTTACATTTCTAATTATGTGGCTCCTAAAGATAATGTAAGAGAAATTCATACTGTTTGTATTCAGCATATGACCATTTATTTATATAAGAGGCAGCCACAGGTCAGCTATAGATATCACTGTCTGAACACAGACTGTATCACACTGTTTAAAATGCTTTCAATGCTGTTTTGTGAGTATGAATATAACTAAATGTGACACATTTTTTACGTTTAAATATAGTTTTTACTTAATTTTCAAATATCTATTGAATTTTGATTTACTGTATTCTTTTGGCAGCATGTTCGGAGTCATCAAGCTCTTTTATGCTTTGAGCTGGATCCACCAGGAATACGGTGCTGGTGTTGGCATGAATGTACTGTGAGAGAACAAAAAAAGTAAAAGCACTTTTCATCAAAAAATATTTTTGGTTTCACTATGTAAGTCTTGTGCTTTAACAGAAATAATACAATGACAAAATAATTACAAACCAGCAACTTCCAGTGGTTGTTGTTGACAAGTACAAAGGACAGGACAGCTTCATAGTTGTCAAAGTTGACCTATAATGGCATCAAATAAAGGATTAAAACAAACTTGAAGGCTAAGGTAAAAATAACAACAACATTAGTCTGACAATGATGTTCTTGTGCCATTCATTTGTTGTGCTTAAAACAAGTGTTGGTATGGGAATTCAATAGTAAGTAGATTTATCAGGTGATTTAACTAATGAGTATAGTTTCAGAGAGGATAAAGTAAAATAATCTCAGCTAATTTCCTATTTAAGACCTCAGCCAATGCTTCACTCCATGTACCTAATGTGTGAGTGTGAGCCCACAAATCAAATCCACACCTACTTCCCCCTACAGCATCACCATGCACAAACACAACACACCACACACATAAACATACACAGACCACACACATTACCTTCGGTAAACTGTGAGATATTAGCTGAGTTCTGTCCCCGAACAAAATGACACTTGCTGTGTAGTGATTTAGCAAGTACATTTTGTTCAGAACGGCGAATTTGTCGGCAGCAACATGAAACACGCCTTCAATTACCTGGCAAAAAAGATCATAACAATTTGCCAATTAATGCATATTCCCAGTTATACTGAACTTTCATTTCCTGCAACTTTGAGAATCTTGTGACTGACAAAAGTATCTAGACATTTTGGGGAGAAATCGTTAAATGCTAGATAAAGAAAATAACACAGTGTAGAGTGAAACTTCAGACACTTGAAACATGTAGTACCCCTGTCAACCACTGGTGGGGTCGAAGTGAGCATAGCTCACAGTGGCGGATAAGCAACATGCGTCCTTTCATCTGTGAGGGGAGCACTGCCACGACCACCTCTGTGTCCTTTTTTTTCCACAGCCAGGTCAACTGCAAGTTAGGATTGAGGGGAAATAGATGCAGTCTGTTTAATATGGACACTTGAGGAATCTTTTAACCCTCCGGTATCACTCTGGACATTTTGTCCCGAATGACTAATTAGGGTAGTGCACTTGAATGACACCAGAGGGTTAACAATCTTGAATTTTTGGGTGAAGGCCTTGTTTTTTGTATATGCACCATCAAAGCTACATGCACAAAATATAATTAAACTGTCCATGTTTATGCATTTAACCTCAGTCCCTTTTAGAGTTTTCATTAAATGACATTAAACAGGCTGCTCAGGAACAGAAACTGTAATTGCAGTTTAAAGTCTGATTTGGAAATCTAGTTTCTGTTCTAAGTTTGTAAGCTGTATTTACATTTTTCATCTTCATATTCTCCCCCTACAACATGCACCTAATCATCTTGGGTTATAATACTTCATGTCCTTTGTCCTTCACCTCACTCTTTACCAATTTAGTCCATGCTTTACTTTCTGACAATATTTACTTATTCCATTGTTACAATTAAAATGCTGGAGAACAATTTACACACTTTGAACATAGTAAGTCTTAGAGAAACTCACATTTCCCTGTGCGTCTTGTTCCTGTTGGTCCACTTTTCTTTTCTTCACCTTTGTGGCAGGTGGGCTCTTGGGGTTGGGTAGTGCTTTTGGTGGATTGAAGTACTTGGACTTGGACTTGGAGTGACCAGCAGAACTTTCCCGCTTGTTCCACTGTTCCTCGTGGTCATCATCTGGCCTGCTAGGATGCCCAAAGTTTTTGTCCAGAATATGCATTGGCAGATTGTGTTGCTCAATGTGCTCTACGTATCTTCCTTGTATTGAGGCATACATTTTGGAGACAAACTCAGCTGGTCTCAGGTACTTTTTTTTTAAAAGGATGGAGTGTTTGACCAACCCAAACCAGAGCTCAACATGGCAGTTGGTATCCCTGGTTTTATGACTTCCATCTTTTTTAGAGGTACCTTTTCTATGTCGCGACAGATCCCCAAGCAACAAACCACTCCACAATGGGAAGATCCCCATGTAGTTTTTGAACAGTGCATCAATGACACCAGGACAGAGGTAGTGGTTTTTACCTGAACAGCATCGTCAGAGAGAATGTCACACTCTGCTTGGTCCCACCTGACTTGAAAAGCTTGTGTAAAAGGGGACTTTCCAATAATGCTATGAGCATTTGTTTCCATTTTGCTTTCCTCCTCTCCCATTACATGTCCACTTTCCTCCAGTTTCAAGTCCCGAGTTTGCAAAATGCACTCGTCGAGGTACATTTGCTCTGTTTCACCGAATGAAGTGTACTCCTCTGCATCAAAAAGCACACACATATGCTAAAAAACATCAAGGGCTTCCTGCATACTTGTGCAGTTCAGGATGTACGCAAAACAGAATGTTGCATATTCCTGTGTGCCTCTGTCTACAGTTTGTTTCCCAAATGCTTGTGACACAGCCTTCATGATATGAGCAGAGCACAGACGCAGCACAGTGAAGTTAGGAATCAGTTCAGTTTGTCCAGACACTATCTCAAATGCTCTGTCAAGGTACACTGACATATGTTCCCTGTTAAAAGACAGAAGCACACTGTTTATCAGAGCCCAACTATAATCTGTCTCAACCTGTGCTATCTTTCTTTTTGTTATGTAAGACAACTTTCTTTTCAATTCCATGAGCCAATGGGAAATAGATGGAATGGAATGGCTGTTGGTGATCAGTTCTGTGACGGGCAAGGGAGGCTTATCCTTACCCATTCCGGGCAAAACCAAAGCATAATACAAGACCCGCTTATTTTGATCAGGAATGTTCTGTATCACGCTGCCTGTGGCATCAAGGTAGAGAGTCGTAGGTGTTGGCTTTTTCAAGTGCTCAGTCAATATCTTTATTCCAACATCTGTGTATAAATGTACAGCAAACGGATCAATTTGTAGGTGCTGAAGATAGCCTTTTGATGATGCATGACTGCTGCTCTCTTTGATTATTTTTTGAGTCAACATGAGTTCAAGCATCATGTCATCGTGGAGCCTTGCACTTTTCTTCACTTCAGAGGATATTTTCTTTAACACGTCTTTGGTGAGGCTTCTGCTTATGTTACCAGCCATTATTTCCTCTACTGGTGTCTGTCTTAACATAGTGTAATAATAATTGCTGACACCACTGGTTAAGGCTTTGGAAATTGTTCCTCTTCTTGTGTATTTTGCTGGTCTAAATCGCCTTTGATTTTTATGGTGTATAACTTCACCAATGCGCATGACTTTAAAAATATTTTTTTTATCCGTTGATTTTGGCCTGTTCTTTTTTGAGAAACTGTAGACAGCGTTAAAGGTGCATTTTGCAGAGGCACAGAAAAATGGCGAATTCTTTTTACGGCTATCATTTGTCTTAACATGCTGGTATTTGAAAGCAAGTGTGCAGCATGGATTATTTTTCAAAAATTCTTGATATAATGTATCAGTCCAGGGGGGATGGAGTTTTTTTTTGCCATGTTTAGGTTTAATTTTGTTCCATTGTTTTCTTGTCATGGCAATTTTGAACTTTTTTTTGGCCCTGCTTTGCACTTTCTGTTCATTGTTGTTGTCATTCGGTGGCTGTCTCTGTACTTTTGTGTGGTCTGACTCTTCTGTGTCTATCTCAGACTGTGGCTGTGTGTTACTTATTTCCCTGTCATCCTGACTTGTGTCCTCGTCTTCCTCACCCGTAGGTTGCGCTGGTAACACTGTTTTTCTTCATCATTCTTATCTTCATCTTTCCCCACAGGCTCTGTCCCTGTTTTTTCGTTTGTTCCTTTTTTATCCTTTTCTGGCCCTTTCTTGTCCTTGCCTGTTTGTCCCTTTCCGTTCATTGTTGTTGTCATTTTGGTGGCTGTCTCTGTACTTTGTTGGTCTGACTCTTCTGTGTCTATCTCAGACTGTGGCTGTGTGTTACTTATTTCCCTGTCATCCTGACTTGTGTCCTCGTCTTCCTCACCCGTAGGTGCGCTGTAACACTGTTTCTTGATACTGTGCTGTCCATCTCTCCCTCTTTCACTGACATATTTTCCTAAATACAAACATTACAAAAGTACAAAATCTCATTTAATTACTGTATCTCTTATCGTAAGACTACAATGCAACTTTAAGCAATCTGCCATCCTTGGGTCAATTACAGTAAATTCTGTTTAACATCCTACTGTGATGCAGTATTTAATTAAATAAGCACATTAACCCTTATGCCTCCCTAAGGAAATGTATATCCATGCCACTGTTTAATTTTGCAAGCATTCTGATTGTGTTAAGAATATGGCACGACATTTGGTAAAGATGTGTTTTTTTGGAAACATGTTCTTAATAAGCGTATGTGTAATCAAAATAGTGACTTTCAAATCCCTAGCGACAAAAATAAAAATGAATGAACATTTGATAATTATGATCAGCACTGAATTTGGTTTAAAAAATATGTAAGTAATTGAAAGTGGAACAAAAATATTAACATAGCCTATAATATCTTTATTACAGTATTTTTAGATGAGGACATTTTTGTCGTTAGTGTTTTCAAAGTAACGTTTTTAAAAAGGGATTCACAAGGGTTAAGCTTCAACTTAAAAGCCTCTGGGGCAGAGTCCTGCATGGGTCAGTTTTGCAAATCTGCACCCCACCCGAACCCTCGCAGCTCAGTAGCTACCCGCGAACCGACCGTTACATGCAATTATCTTCAAGTCAAATCTGGACCCGACCTGTTGATATAAGACCCACGACCCGACCCGTTGTGAATTTGGTGGGGGGGGGGGGGGGGGGGGGGGCTAGTGGAGTACTTCGTGACCACAGAGTGTGAACGTTGTGATCAGCTGTTTTAGTGCAGTTCTCCAGTGAAGGGGGGAGTCTCCCTCCGCAGCCGGTTGGCGTAGTTTTGGCACAATTCCGTTGTACAGACCGACGTTAACAGCAGCCCTGTCTGTGCACACGGAGACCGGTGATCTAACCGCCTTCTGGAAAAGCTTCACAAGTACGTCGGTACGCAAATGCGCTTTGTGACACAAGTGACCGTACGCAATTCAGATTGTTGCCGCGCATGCGTACCTGCGTACCAGTTATGTGCACCCCTGGATATAGGCCTACATGTATGTTTTGGCCCGTTACACAACTATTTTGCGGGTATCCGCCGGGTATCCGAGGCAGGACTCTGCTCTGGGGCTCATCAAAGTTATTTTTTAACAGTACCTGCTTGAAGCACCTCAGTCCGGACTCCACGTCGGTCTTCACCCCAGATGACCCTCAACCACTTAAGATGCTCTTTCTTATTACTTTTAAACACTGTAAGTGTAACTGAGGACCACTGTTCAGTTGTAACATTAACTTCACTAAAACCATGAGAAATTAAAGACCTGGTGATGAAATCTCTACCTCCTGCTTGTTGCCAGAGGTCTAAAGCTTTCTTTGTCTTGCCTTTTTTGAAGCGCACCATTTTTAGATCAAACAATGTGATCTGGTTTCTAAAATGTCTTCTTCTTCTTCTTCTTCTTCTTCTTCTTCTTCTTCTGTGGTGGAGGTGTGTTTTTTAAGAGGGAAGAGGGATTTTTACTTGTATTTCGTTTGTTTCTGTTTCAATCGTTTCTTTAACTGTATGATCTTACTTGGGGATATTTGTACTCTTTGCAAGTACGGTTAATATTTTTTCGTGAGTGTTTTTCCGTGCCTCGTGGCGGGGATGGCGTCCTGCGGGGCGCCGCCGGTGTCTCTGAGACACGGGGTGCGTTTGGTGGCTCAGGCCGCAAGCACAGTGGAGCAGGTGCTGCTGGCTGTGGGGGAGCAGGTCGGTCACGTAAACATCTCCGATGCTTCCCGCATGAACAAAGCGGTCGTGGTCTTTTTGAAAGACCAGAAATATGTGACGGAACTTATTGAGAGCGGATTAATGGTAAACGAGGAATATATTCAAGTTTCGCCGTTGGCGACACCGTCCACGCGGATCACTGTGTCTGGCGTTCCTCCATTCATCCCGAATGAGGCGCTGGAACGGGAGCTGAAGCGTTTCGGTAAGTTGCTAGTACTCTCCGCACTGTTGCTCTGGGGTGTAAGGATGAAAAGCTAAAACATGTCCAATCTTGCGGAGACAGGTGTTCATGTTTCTCAATTGTCCACTCAGACACTAGATGTGTCTTCCGGGTGAGGCACGAAGAGGGTTTTTATATGGTGTATGCGAGCTCAGGGAACGTAAAGTGTTTTGAGTGCGGAGAGTCGGGTCACAAACGTGTTGCATGTCCACAGAGACGGCACGCCGCTCCGCCGGGTGCGGCTGAGCCCGGGGCGGCTGAGCCCGAGGCCGCCGAGCCCGGGGCGGCCAGGTCCGGGGCCGCCGAGCCCGGGGCAGCCGAGCCGGCCGTTGGGGTCGGCGGCCGCGGAGGGCCGGTGTCGCGGGGGCTGCTGTTGCACCCGCCGGGGCCCCAGGGGCTGCGGATGAAGTAGGGATGAATATCGTGAGAGATGAAACAGGGATTGTAGAGAGTGTGGTGAGTGTGAGAGGAAAAACATGTGGAAACAGGTAAACGGGTGGGAGATGATGTAGCAGGACAGGTGAGGACCGGGGCTGTGGGACAGGTGGAGGCTGTTGGCACACAGCAGGAGCTGCCGTCTGGTTCTGGGAGGCAAAAAGAGCTTCAACAGGCTGCAGACAATAATGAGGTGACAGAGATGGACACAGACGGTGAGGGGGATTCTGACTGTGTTTCAGTTGCAGATAGTCTCTCTCAGAACACAGAGATATATTCTTTGGAAGAGATTAATGTCTTTTTAGATGAGTCCTTTGGCAAGGCAGTGGAAGTGAGAGACTTTTTCCCTGACACTAACAAGTTTCTTCATACAGTGAGTACTCTTCAGAAAGTTGTAGGGTTAGACCTGCTGGAAGAAAAGAGACGCTATTGTCTCAGGAAGCATGTAACTACTATGAAAAAAGTTACGAAAGGAAGCAAAAAAGGGGGGAAACTGAAAAGGTCTAAATAGTTTCAAAATAATCATGCAACACTGGGTGTCTCCTCTCTGCTGTGTGTACCTGTCTGTTCTTTTTCTCTGTCTCCTTCCTATAATGCAGGCTTTAAGGGTTGCTTCTTTAAACATTAACGGGGGTAGAAGTGCACAGAAAAGAGCTTTAGTGTTGGAGGTCTTTAATCAGAAAAAATTAGATGTGATATTTCTGCAGGAAACGCACAGTGATAGCCTGAATGAGACGGACTGGGGAATGTGGTGGGGTGGTCAGTATGTACTCAGTCATGGCTCAAACCTTAGTGCTGGAGTAGCTGTTTTTTTCTCCCCCTCTCTAAATGTTAAGATTTTATCCAGCACAGAGATAGTGGCAGGTAGAGCCTTGATGGTGAAAGTGGAACTGTTGGAGTTCTTTTTCACTTTTATTAATGTTTATGCACCCAATCAGGGCCCTGCACGTGTATCTGTGTTTCAGTTATTAAAAGACGAGCTAGACACTAGTGTACAGGGGGAGTGTGTTATACTGGGGGGGGGACTGGAACGCTTGCACTAATGTCACTTTAGACAGAATAGGACAGGAGCCGCATCCTCAGTCGTCCCTTTTACTGTCACAGGTGATAAGAGAGGCTGACTTAGTGGATGTGTGGAGGACGAAGAACCCCTCTGTTAAACAATACACCTGGATGAGAATGCTAGATGGGGGCGTCAGTGCAGCCAGGCTAGACAGATTGTACATGTCTGCTTCTTCTATTACTCGTGCAGTGAACTGTCACATCCAACCTGTTGGTTTTACAGACCATCAGCTAGTTTCTTTAGATTTGGTTTTATCCAACACAGAGAAGCCTAGATCGTTCTGGCAGTTTAATGTTAACATTTTACAAGATTTGACTTTTTGTGAGAATTTTAAATTATTTTGGATCAACTGGAAATCAAAGAAAGAATCTTTTCCCTCCCTGAGTCAGTGGTGGGAGGTAGGAAACGCTCAGATTAGAGTGTTCTGCCAACAGTATACAGCCTACTCCACTGCAAACATTAGGAGAGCTATAGAGCAGTTCGAGAGGGAGATCAGAGAGGTTAGAGAGTGTGTCTGCTTCGAAATATAGAACAGTCCCTCCTAAAACAACAACAGCTTAACTGTTTTCTTCAGGAGAAGGCCAAGGGAGCTCTGATCAGAGCCCGTTTACCTTCCATGAGAGACATTGATGCACCAACCACCTTTTTCTTCAACCTGGAGAGGTCTGTGGGCCAAAGGAAGCAGATGGTATGTCTGCGTCTCCCCGATGGACAGGTAACCTCTGAACCTGCTGAGATGAGGAGGCATGCAGTGTCCTTCTACACAGACCTGTTCAAAGCCGAAGGTTGTGACGTGGAAGATGCTGATGAACTTCTTCAGGGTCTTCCACAGCTGAGTCCAGCTGAAAGTGGCACCCTGGGCTCTGACATTACGCTGGAGGAATTGACCTCTGCGGTGACACAGATGGCCTCCGGCAAGGCTCCGGGCATAGACGGTTTACCTGCAGACTTTTTTAACATTTCTGGAGTATTCTGGGACATGACTTGCTGGAAGTATTGATTGGAGTCCTTTTGGGAAAGGGACTCTTCCAGCTTCCTGTAGGCGTGCAGTGATTTCACTGTTGCCTAAGAAAGGAGATCTAACCCTGCTTAAGAACTGGAGACCTGTGGCTCTCTTATGTACGGACTATAAGATACTGTCAAAGGTCTTAGCTAACAGACTGAAGTGTTTTATTGAACTTCTTATCTGTACTGATCAGACATATTGCATCCCTGGCAGATCAATTGTGGACAATTTGTTTTTGATGAGAGACACTTTTGATGTTTGCAAACTGTATAATATAAATGTTGGTATATTTCTATTGACCAGGAGAAGGCGTTTGATCGTGTGGATCACACGTTTCTGGCTGCCACATTGCAGGCTTTTGGTGTTGGGGAGCATTTTTTGTCCTGGGTGAAGTGTTTGTACAGTGATGCATGTTGTGTTGTGAAGGTGGGGGGAGGGCTGAGCAGACCTGTACCAGTTAAAAGGGGGATCAGGCAGGGCTGCCCTATCTCAGGCCTATTATATAGTATTGCCATCGAGCCGCTTTTGTGCAGACTTAGAAACCGCTGAGGGGCCTGTGTCTGCCAGAGTCAGCTCAGGCCCCCCCGGTGGTTGTATCAGCTTATGCTGATGATGTCAGTGTTTTTGTCCAGGGTCAGCGAGATATCCAGGAGCTACAGGACAGTTTAGCTTTGTATAGGAAGGCTGCTTCAGCCAAAGTTAACTGGGAGAAGAGTGAGGCAGTTTTGGTAGGTCGGTGGAGTCTAGAAAATAGGCCCAGTCTTCCTGGTAACCTTAGCTGGGGAAACAAGGGTTTAAAGGTCCTGGGAGTTTGGTTGGGGTCTGAGGACATGGTGGCACAGAACTGGGAGGGATTGCTGGGAAAGGTGCAAGCTAAGTTAGCCAAATGGAAATGGCTGCTACCCCAGCTGTCCTACAGGGGAAGAGTTCTTGTAGCCAACAATCTGGTTGCCTCGTCTCTGTGGCACAGACTCCAGGTGTTAACCCCACCGCCGGGCCTCATGAAACAACTGCAGCGGCTCCTCGTGGATTTCTTCTGGTCGGGTCATCACTGGGTGCCAGCATCGGTCCTGTACCTGCCTGTGGCGGAGGGGGGCCAGGGCCTCGTGGACATTACTGCAAGGACTGCTGCTTTTAGACTGCAGGCAGCTCAGCGGCTGCTGTATGGTGCCTCTCCCTGCTGGCTGGCTATGGCCCGGCTGTTGCTCTGGAGGGCAGGGGGCTTTGGTTTTGATAAACACCTGTTTCTGCTGAAGGCCCCTGCGTACAAGATAACTGGACTTACACCTTTTTACTGCTCAGTCATCAATGCCTGGAAGATTCTGAGTTTTACCAGACCACCTGACCCCCGGCCTGGGATGTGGCTGTTTGAGGAACCACTGTTTGACACTGGTTTTCTTTCTGGAACCCTTTTCTCTTCAGCCACCCTAAAAAATGCGTTCATTGAAGCGGGAGTGGTAAAACTTGGCCATTTGACGGGGGTCTCCACAGAAAAACTGGCTGAGGTGACGGGCATTCGATCAACCCGAGTTCTGGAGAACTTGGTAGATGAGGTGTGGCAGTCGCTGTCGCCATCCCACCGGACTTTTGCTCTGGATGCAGATCTGGCTGACCAGTGGAGAAAGGGACATGATTATGTTTTTCCTGCCTTGAGTGTGGGTCCTGCGGTGGGGGAATGGAGAGAGGAGGATGGTCTCCTGCTATCACTGGGGACTCTAACACCTGCAAAGTTCACCTCCTGCAATGGGAAGAAGCTATACCTTAGCTGTGTAAAGGTGTTAAACCTCAGCTCGCTCGCAGGCGTCAGAGAGTCGAGGTGGACGGATGTGTTTGGCTTGGGCTCTTCCCCTCAGGGCAGCTGGCGGATCCTGTATAAATCTG